AAATCTGGAAATGTTCCCTTTAGGTTGTGCTTTGAGCTAAATTCTCAGGCAAAGTCTGTCAAATCTGATATGGTATCTGATGAACGTCTGATATTTGAGTTAAGATATTTCCGTTTGGACAAAAGTGTTGGCCCGATCGACCAACATCGCCATTCCTATAATGTTGCCAAGCAAGGCCATTCTTAGGTTCATTGGTTTTCCAACCCCCCAAAAATAACATAAATTTATGTAGAAGAATTTTGTTTTTCCCTACCCCGAAACCGACCCCTCACGTTCAACTTATTACCCCTTGTGTGGTCCCGACTCCCAGGTTGCTTAGTTTTTACACTATCCTTTAAAATATACCAATATTCATCATATTTTTGTACAGTGCACCTAACTCTCCTCCAGTCATGCATAAATAAATCAGGTGTGGAGAGAATGAAGGAGATTGAGTGGCTGACATCTTCAGGTTGTAGTGATGTATCAAGCCACCTAGTTCTGTTGACTATTACTGCGTTCATCTATTGCATCCTCTGAATCACAAACTGCTGCTGCTAATCACAAGCACACATACGTATAAATACACACAAACAGCTGCAGAGTAGGCTGTTTCCTGTATACCGTTCTCAGTGTGTCTGCATTACTCTTCCATCTGCACAGGCATTTCCTGTCCGACCTTGAAATCAGGCCCTCGCCCACCACCACCATCACTTCACACACATACACACTCTTTCCCCATTTCCCCACATTCTGTGCTTTCTGAAGACAAGATGTACTTTTTGCATAACATTCACATATACTATCCACACACACACAACACCCTCATATGTTCACTTAAGCACTAACAAGTGTCCAAATTTAAGAGCAACTTGGCAAAAACAATATCCAGTGGAAGATAAATACGTAAATGCTTCAAACCTGTAATTATCAGTTATGAAAAACAAAACTCCTATGGGGGAAAATAATGGTATTGTTTTCATGACTAGAAGCTAAAATACAGCACAAACTCCTACTTTACGAGCACCCAGAGTTACTCTAATCTGCCACTTTCGCACCGGGGAGCCGTGATGTCATCAATCACTAACCCAGCGCTCGAACGGCGGCCAGCCTACCCCAAACCATCCACATGTGTTTTTATTCAGCAGGAAAGTTATAGCAGAAAAGGTTAGGTCACAGATAGTTTACAATAATATTATTCATGTAAAGGAAAGTGGAAACGATCCCTGTATGTGACTTCACTCTATTTACACAAGCATGCCCTGAATACATTGATATCGCCAGCCAGTAAACCTCACTCCGCACACACACACAGAGAACGCACTACACATTAATTGCATGAACTGGATTTCATAAGGTGATGGAAAGGAACCAAGCCAAAGTCCGACAATTAGCAAAGATTTAAAATAACAACTGAGTGCCTGAGGCGTAGTGTTAAAGCAGAGGAGACATAATGAGAGTCAGAGTTATGATTCCAACTCACAGGAGAAACAGAGACATTGTTGTAGTGTTCAAATATCCAATGCCAAAAGGTTACAATTCTTGGATCGGCTCTCTGCTTGTATTTAATACTGACTTGATGAGGAAAATATCAATTAAAATACAGCCCAGTAGGCATTTTGTGAATTTATGCTGTTGGTCGTGTTTTAAGACCAAGGCCAAGAGAGACTGATGGATGGACCCAGAGGGAAACTATATAAACTATTTTTTGATTTACTAACTGTTTTGTCCAAGTAGAAAGAAAATGTGTATGTGTGCCGATTATGTGTATCTGAAATGTATTAATGACATTGTGGGGACATAAATCTCTATACATAGTCACATGTGACACAAACTCACCCTCCATTTGGGGACAAAAAGCCGGTCTCCACAAGGTAAACTACTAAATTTTAGGGTTAAGATTTCTTTTTTTGGTTCAGGGTAGGGTCTCCAGGGGATTAATGTAATTCAGTGTCCTCCTAAGTGATAAGTCAGTGTGTTACAGTCATATTTTCTGAGTAAAAAAAAAGGGATATCAGACACACAGGATACAGCACCATAGTTCCCATGGGAGAATACAGAACATAGCAAAGAAGAGAGGGATGTGGTTGTGACTCTCAACAACATTCACATGGCTGTTGTCTTGGCTTAAATAAATGGTTAAAACTATGCACATCCACAATTTTCGCTCTTTTTAACTTTAATCTGACTTCTTAACTTATTAACTTTTTGAGATCATGTGCATTCCTTACCATTAAAGGTATTTTAGCCAGTTTTGCATACATGCTGGGCTTGTTCACGCCCAGAAAATTGCAAAAAAAACACTAAGGTCTGCACTTAATGCAGGTTTAACCATTTAAAAGAGGATCACTGAGTTTCATGATGTGCTACCTGGATGTAAGCCGTTTTTAACATTCAAAATAAAACATTCAGTCAATATGCTATCGTGCTCTGCAGCTGTGTATAACTAAAAATGTTTAAACCTGTAAGAAAATTGAGAAAATAAAGTTTCTTTACATAAATGAATTTATGACTGAAGTGAAATTGGTGCTCTCTTCTCTACCAGGATGGCAAGACCTAAACGAGAATGAGGAAGGAGAGACTACATTGCTCAAGGGCTTCACGGTAACAGTTACTTAAAGTAAAGGCACCTTCATTTGTTCTCCCAGCCCTACACTTTCTTTAACTTGTTCAAAATTTAAACAAACTTGTGACTTCTAACTCACTCCTGTAGCTGTTTAGCTGATCAAACTTAAAATAATAAATAAGTGAAACAATGTCTTTTTCACCAACCCACACACCAATATAAACACACCCATTTCCATAAAGAATCAACCTTGTGTCATTTTCCCAGTAGACTGGAGCATCTGCAGCAAATCAGCCTCGCTTTTCCTTCACCTCCCTCTTTTATCTCCCTATCTCTCTCTGTCTCCCACTCACTTGCTTCCACCCTCTTCCTCTATTTTTCCCTCTTTGCATTTTTCTGTTATTAGGAACAAGTGTAACTGGCCAAAAAACTTCCCTTCTCTATCTGTGAAACAGACACACACTCATTGGCTCTTAATTTCTGTTTGCTGTCACGCACAGGTCCTTGTCTTCAGCTGTCCTGTCTCATCTGTCACACAGGACTCCAAAAAGAAAAGGAAAGTAGAACAAATTATTGCTAGATGCCTTTCCCGCGCTCTCTTAAGATCTCTCATAATTGCATCATTAGGTGAATTACTGAGATCCATGCCACCCACTGTTCATGTATTTGTGCGGTTGTGTGTTTGCCTTGATACAAGCAGGTATGTTTGTCTTGTGTGTCCTTGACACGTGTTTGTCCTCACCGATGCCAACTACACAGGTGTGGATTTATTTTTTCTGTGTTCTTTTAAATAATTAATTGAATCTGGCCATTTAAAACAGCTGCTTTTGGGTCTGTCGCACAGGATCAGTAAAAGTGTTATTTATGTGTGTGTGGGAAACAGATACAGAGAAATAACTCAGCACAACTGTTGGCGTGCGATCATTCAGTATCAGAACCACCGTTTGTACTCAGTACATGACTTCTTGGGCACCCCACTGCTCATGTCCCTAGTTCACACAGTGGAAGTCCCCCCCCCC